ATATCATGATTCATAACTCCAGTTCGAATTATCTGGTTTGGCATAAGCAAAAACCCTCATACACAGGCACCAAAAAACATGGCATCATCTATATTTTTTTTTTCTTTTTAACTAATAAAAAACGATATTTGATAATTAATAATTGAGAACTTAATTATGTATTTGAGGCATATATATAACAAACTAGAAGTACTGTAATTAGGTCAATTTAAATCAATTTCAAAATTCAAGTTGGGGAAGATAGGTTAACTAAAACGAATTCACTACTCCACTATACTGAATCAATTTCAATGAGCAATGTTCGGCCTTTACTGACAATATAGAAACAAAAATTCAGAGGGAGTGAATAGAGATTAGGAGCGAGAAGAGGGGGGACATGACCGAAAGTAAAATCTTACCGCCGCCGATGATCAGTGATGATGGAGATGGTGGGGAAGTTGGCTGCGTTGCCGGTGATGGTTCTGTTGAGAGGAGGGTTCTGAGGAGTTACAATTCTTTTTATTTTTCCCAATCCGCACGAACAGAGGGAGTTATCAGAGTTCTCTTTGGGTTGTGAGGTATATGTGTTATATTTGCTATAACACTTTTAAAGAAAAGTGTTATCTTTTGTTCTCATTGTATAGCCTTTGTTAAAACGAGTGTCATCTGTGTGTTCCCTTCTCTTAGCATAGCACTTTCTTAAAAGAACGCTACATAAGAAGTGTTATCTGAATTAATTTTTGTTGTAGTGAATAATTCTCAATTCCAAGTGTTGAATTTTATCACAAGCTTAATCCTTGAACAATAATAAAAAGAAGAGAAAAATGGAAGAAAAGGGTGAAGAGAGGAAAAGAAAACGAAGAAGAAGAAGAGAAAGGAAGGAGAAATAAAGTTTCGTGTGTTCTCGGGCCTAGGGTTCTCGTCCCTAGGAGGGGGATTGTGAAATATTCGAGAAAAAATGAGTTTTTGGGACTTTTATACCATTCTCGGAGTTGTAGGTGGTCTTAACGCCGCTAAGGGGGGTTAGCGGCGCTAAGGGATGAAAGCTGCGAGCCTCTGGGGTCGTTAACATGGTCTAGCGCCGCTAGATAAGCCAGCCTTAGCGCCGCTAAGGCCTGGGCAGTGCGACTTTGCCTTTCAGGCTCGTTTGGGCTCGTCCGAACTCGGAATTGAGTTCTGTTTTTTTCTACGCGTCGCTAACGAGCCCCTCTTTCTAATGGTTTTATCTTCACCAAAACATTCTCGAAAACCTGTTCTCCCGGGGTCTCCAAACTACACACCAAAAACAAAAAGAGAACAGAAAAAGACCAGAAAACAAACGGAAAACACCCCAACACTCAAATGAACGCAAAACACACAATAAATTACAAAAAGATCCTAAAACCACCTAAATGACTCAATAGGGGGAAAAAGAACGGTAAAATAATGACTAAAAATGACACAAAAATAGGACAAACAAGTACTCATTATCCGCACCAAGGCTTCGAAGCAAATTAAAATTTATGTCTGATTCCAGCTATAGGAATTAAGAAAGTCATATTATACAGATTTCAGCAGCTAATCAGGATCCTACATTTAATAATAATAATTTATGAAATATAAATCAAAGTTGTTTTATAGCATATTTTGAATTTTTAAGAGTATTATGTGTTTGTGTATGGTCATGTGTGATTTTACACCATATTTACATTGTATCAAGAGCTTATTCATATTGGTGTATAAATTGTATTATTGTGTTTTAATTTTATTCTTGTTGGAAAGGTATTACACGTGCTTGTTTTGTAGATATTTCTATATTTTTATAGAGTTTTTGGCAATTAGAGACACATGGTGAGTACCTAGGACCCCTGGGATGATGGAAGATTAATGTACGAATGAAAAAATAAAGAAGAGACGAGTGAAACGAGTGAAAAGTAGAGTGCAAATTTGTGACACGGGCATGGGCCGTGTCACCTCAACATTGGAAATTTCGAGGCTTTACAAGTGACACGGGCTGTGGCAGAATGGTTGTGTCGCGCGCGCAGGTTGTTTTTTTTTATATCTTCTCTATTTTGCAAATGAGAGGGGTTTGGACATTATTATAAAAGACATATTTACCCTATTTTGAGATGAGATAATGTGGATACATAAAGAGAGGAGCCCTAGAACACACAAGAGAAGCATGCAATTGGTAAGTAAAAGAAAATTCAACTACGAGGAATTAAGAAGATTGAAAGATCGACGAAATTCCTAGTTTTTCTTTCTTCTTTCTTTTGAACTCTTATCTATCATGTCGATTTTCAATATGTCTATGTATTTGAATTTGAACATGAGTGGCTAGATATTTTATTCTAGGACTTGGTAGTAGATTAATATGTTGAGATTTTGGATGATTTATTTATAATTAATTGTTTTTCTTCAAAGTTTTTGAATAACATATAAAGTTGCACCTTAAGTTTGATGAAGTTCCAATATTTGATTAAACTTACACGAATATTTCGAGATTCAATTAAAACTTAACATATGGATTAGTACCACCAGTGAAGAAAAAATTATTGCAATGATACAATCAAAATTGCTAATGTTAGGCTACCTAACTACTAATTAATCATACTATTTTTTTATTTTTTATTTATTTATTTATTTATTTATTTATTTTTTTTGTACACCAAAAAATACATATTTATATAATGAAACATTTTTATTTGTTTTGTATTTCAATCATAAGGTCTCAAGCTAAACAAGCCATAACCAATTTACTAGAAACAGAGAAACAAAATCAACACAAAAATACCATCATAATATATTATAATATATCAGAAAACCAATTTATTCATAACCTTCAATACCCATATGCCATAGCTAACTTCAAAACAAGACTAAAAAACACTCAAATAGAATTCAAAACAAAGCCGCCCCGAAGCCTCAAGACGAGATGCAGAGTCGACTCCTTCTGTATATTGTAGTCGGCCAGCGTTCGCCCGTTTTCGAGCTGTTTTCCGGCGAAGATAAGCCGCTGCTGATCGCATGGAATCCCTTCTTTGTCCTGAATCTTGGCCTTCACATTGTCGATCGTGTCGAAGATTTCGGCTTCAAGGGTGATTGTTTTTCCGGTGAGTGTCTTGACGAAGATTTGCATGCCGCCACGTAGGCGGAGAACGAGATGAAGAGTCGACTCCTTTTGTATGTTGTAATCGGCTAGCGTCCACCCGTTTTCGAGCTGTTTTCCGCCAAAAATCAGGCGCTGCTGATCGGTTGGAATCCCTTCTTTGTCCTGAATCTTGGCTTTCACGTTGTCGATCGTGTCGAAGATTTCAGCTTCAAGGGTGATTGTTTTTCCGGTGAGGGTCTTGACGAAGATTTGCATGCCGCCACGTAGGCGGAGAACGAGATGGATAGTCGATTCCTTTTGAATGTTGTAATCGGCCAGCGTTCGCCCGTTTTCAAGCTGTTTTCCGGTGAAGATAAGCCTTTGCTGATCGGGCGGAATCCCTTCTTTGTCCTGAATCTTGGCTTTGACAGTGTCAATTGTGTCCAAGCTTTCGACATTGACAGTGATTGTTTTTCCGGTGAGGGTCTTGACGAAGATTTGCATGCCGCCACGTAGCCGGAGAACGAGATGGAGAGTCGATTCCTTTTGGATGTTGTAATCGGCCAGCGTTCGCCCGTTTTCAAGCTGTTTTCCGGCGAAGATAAGCCTTTGCTGATCGGGCGGAATCCCTTCTTTGTCCTGAATCTTGGCTTTGACAGTGTCGATTGTGTCCAAGCTTTCGACATTGACAGTGATTGTTTTTCCTGTGAGTGTCTTGACGAAGATTTGCATGCCGCCACGTAGGCGGAGAACGAGATGGATAGTTGATTCCTTTTGAATGTTGTAATCGGCCAGCGTTCGCCCGTTTTCGAGCTGCTTTCCGGCGAAGATAAGCCGCTGCTGATCGGGTGGGATCCCTTCTTTGTCCTGAATCTTGGCTTTGACAGTGTCGATTGTGTCCAAGCTTTCGACATTGACAGTGATTGTTTTTCCGGTGAGGGTCTTGACGAAGATTTGCATGCCGCCACGTAGCCGGAGAACGAGATGGAGAGTCGATTCCTTTTGGATGTTGTAATCGCCCAGCGTTCGCCCGTTTTCGAGTTGCTTTCCGGCGAAGATAAGCCGCTGCTGATCGGGTGGGATCCCTTCTTTGTCCTGAATCTTGGCTTTGACAGTGTCGATTGTGTCCAAGCTTTTGGCCTCGACAGTGATTGTTTTTCCGGTGAGGGTCTTGACGAACAATTGCATTGTGAAAGGTTTGTTTTGATTGAGAAGAGAGTAATTTGAGAAGATATAAATTTGTTTTGCTCTGAAGATTGTTTGGTGGATTGTTGGGCTAAGAGGAAGCCTTTATTTATAGGGAGGGATTTTTGCCTATGGAGAATAGGCGTAGAATGTTCTAGAAGCTTCGAATGCCCGCAAGTTTCTTCTTGGCTAAATCCTACGCCAAATCCAACTGATCGTTATTCCTAATTTTTTATTTTTTTTTAATCATATTTGGACTCCTAAACTTGGCCGATATTGTGTTTCTATTTTATCGTTTCAGATTTTAATTCTAATGGCACGAGACAGCAATAATTATAAATTAATTTTATATATAAATAACATTAATCACTATTTTCTTATGACAAATATTCTTACTTTGATTATTTGATTTGTATTATATTTATTGAAACAAAATATTCTTGATATTGATATTAATATTTAGTTTCAATAATTGATTTGATCAGGTCAATTTGACTATAACTCGGTCTTCCGAGATGCTACATTCGTTTATTTGATTTATATTATATTTACTGAAATAAAATATTCTTAATATTGATATCCATATTTAGTTTCAAAAATTGATTTGATCAGGTCAATCTGACTCATAACTTTGTGTCTGGGATATTGCTACAAAAGTTGTGTCATATATTTGAATGATTTTACAAATGATATGAAATTAGTTCAATAAAATGTGCAGTAACCTAATTCAATCAGCCCAGGTGATCTAAATATTTTTTTTTTCTTAAATAAAATATCATTCATATAGTAAATGTTTATGACAAATAGCAATATATCACGACTATAACAAATTAATTATTGCTTACTTTATAGATATTTATAAAATAATAAATTATAAATAGTTAGCAGGTATCAGTTCATTGAGCTCACAAATTATCATGGCTTAACAGGAAACAAGGAATAAAATACAAGGCATGACTTGCTTCGAACCGCATGTTAAGATATATAAAATAAAGTCACGTCTGAGTTCTGACAGTAACATTGTCTTTGACAAGTCCCCTAAACAATATTTTCATTTTCCCCCAATATTATTGAGGAACACTTTGCACACATTGATATACATAGACACATATATATATATACAACAAAGTTTTGGATAAATTATTATTGCTGAACATACTTCAATATATTAAACTTTATTTTTCCTTATTACTGTCCTCCGTGGCCGATGCCTTGCAGATGGGACATACGTTCTTCATCGACAGCCATTTCCTAATGCAGCCCACGTGAAAATCGTGGCCACACGATTTCAAAGTCCCTACATCATCCATGTTTTTGTATTCCTCCTGTAAAAAAGAAAAAAAGAACACACTTTGTTATATATACGAGTTAATATTGGTTTAATTTAACTTCCATCGTGCAGAAATCTTCTGAGTTTCAATGTAAATGATGTCTCGTGTCGAAATTTACCAAACAAATGACACAGTTTCCTTCATCTTGAGATAGGTCGGACGAACAATATATGGACTCGGTCAGGCATTTGGAAATCGAACCATCGGTCAAGCCGGTGCTCACACTTCCTATCCTTTCTCCAAGTGCAAGAAGCTCCTGCTCATGCCAATAAGTGCTTATGTTACAAGAAAACTTGGGTGAATAATAGTGAAGACAGTGAGTGATAAAGACATGAAGGGAAAATTGTAAACACAAATTTGTAAAAAGGCAACTGACCTCATAACTCATGTTGTCTATGTCGAGTCTCAAGTCCCTGTGCTGATCAAACAGAGTTCTTGATCCATAAACCGCATTGTGGTCCACAACCATGAGACCCTGAAAAATGCAAAACTTTTTATCATTATTTAAATAAAGCAAGTGAATTAATTGAAGGTTTAGATCTTTACACAAGTTTTAAAGCTGGTCAGGCATAAAATCTAATAGTTTCCATCAGTGAAGGGTTTTGCAGTAGAAATTCTCTCATAACTCTCTTCATCTCTTGTTTTCAATTTTCTCTACATTGCATTTACTCGTTTTTCATGTGACATCACTGATCAAATGCATTTTCAGAGAATCAAGAGTGAAAGTTTCTCAAATATTAGTATCTTAAACAAAAAATGACAACAGGGCACCGCCAAAATACGACGGGAAATTTCACTTAAGCTCCAACCAAAAAGAAAAGACAGATCTACTATTACTAACAACTTCAATAACAGACAGAAATGTTGTAGAAACTTCAAACCGGCATAAACTCAAACCATAATCTTCAAGTGTTACAAAACTCAAAGACATACCTCAGGTGCCAGCCGATCACGGAAACTTGCTTCCTCACTAAGATATCGATATCTATCGCCCGATATACAAGTTCTCACGTTCCTATCTAAACTGCGCAGCCTTAGGTTGGAAAGAGCCCGTGAATGTCTCGAAGGATAACTTTCTCCAACATGCTGCCTCTCGTCTGGGGCAGGTGGACGGAAGTTGTTGGAAGAAGCCCTGAAAGTAGGGGCGGACCTTTGGCCATAACTACTTCGGACTCCTCTGACGGACTGGTTCAAGTGATTTCCAACATTTTGAGGAACGTGATTTCTAACATCACTGTTGTAAGCCCCAATCTCAACAGAATTATTATTAGGAAGAAGGTTGTTCATTGCATTCTGGGGATTTGTATCATGACCGAAGAAACTAGAATCTGAAATTTTCAAATTTAAAA